TTGTTTCTCATCCAGAACTGGATGGAGTGGGCATCTTGATAAAGGATTCCCCACCTAGAACTGCCCCATGTGCCTTGCTTCATCACGGTGCTGGATGCAGGGCAGGGGAGAGCCTACTTTCCTTGCTGTGGCCCCTGGGCTGGTGCCAGCTTCCATCTTCACGGTGCTAGCCTGTCTCTGCTTCATTTAGTCCTCAGTGGCCTCCCTGTACTTCACATCCTATTTTCTGATGACTCTCTGTGTTCACTGCAAATGGGTTCATGGCTTTCCAAAGGCAAAACAAGCATGGGAACAGCTCAGTAGTTAGAGGACCTGATGAGTGTTAAAATGCAAGTTTACCACGCATCTCTCTGGTTGGGAAAGCACCAAGTGTATGTGAGTTACACTAAGAACAGGCCGCACTTGCCATTAGAACATCCGTGACGCATGCAGAGAGCCGGGAAAGACCAGCTATGAACCTGAATGGTGGTGATCACTGAGCTGCTCATTGGTAGTAATTAATAATGATGAAGATGTCTAACATTTAATGAGCACTATTAAATGTCATGTACTGTTTTATGTCTCTTACATATACAAATGACTTCATAACCTACTCCTGTGTGGTAGGTATAACCATTATCACGGTAGGAAGAGGCACAGAAAGGTGAGATAACTTACTCAGGGCTGCACAGCTAGTAAGTTTTCGAACCTGGATTGGTATCCAAGGTTGTCTTCTGCTAGAGCTTAGGCTCTAAACCTCTCTGCTAAGCTATTACTCCAGTATACAAACTGCATGTTATGGATTGAACTGTGTCCTCCAAGAAGAGACATTTTCAAATCCTAACACCTGGGACCTGTAAATGTGACCTTATTTGGATATAGGGTCTTTTACTGCAGATGTAATCAAATTACAATGAGGTCATATTACAGTAGGGTGGGTTCTAACAAATATGACCATCGACCTTAGAATAGAAGAGGAAAGACAGATACAGAGTGAAGACAGCTGTGGGAAGATGGAGGTAGAGACTGGCGTTATGCTGTAGAAGCCAAGGAATGCCCGGGACTACCAGAAGCTGAAAGAGGCAAGGAAAGGTCTTCCTCTAAGCGTTTTGGGGGGAAGCAAGGCTCAGAAAAACCTCCAGAATTGTCAGAAAATGAATTTCTGTTGTTTTAAACCACCTGACTTTGGCATTTTGTTATGGTAGCCCTAAGAAACAAAGACACTGCGTATTAGTCACAAAAGTGGGGAAGACACCCCTGCAGGGCCCATGCTCCAATGGCTCTGCGCAGGCCAGTGTGGTTTACACGTCCGTTTCCAGGGACTAATTCTCCACATGACATATGTTTGTATCTAACATTAATAAAATTTACAGTTTACAAAGCATTTTCACATATCCAGCCTGCCATTGTCATAACCATCAGGGCAGATACTATCAACAGCTGAAAAAAATTTTAAAACTAGACTTTATTTTTATTTCAATCATTTTTTTGGGATACAGATGGTTTTTGGCTACGTGAATGAGTTCCTTAGTGGTGAGTTCTGAGATCTTAGTGTACTCATCACCCGTGTGGCATATGCTCTACCCAAAATGTTTATACTTTATTTTTTGGGAGCAGTTTCAGGTTTACAGCAAAAATGAGTGGCAAGTGTAGAGATGTACCCGTCTACTCCTGCCCCCACACACGCACAGCCTCCTCCACTATCAACTGCCCCTGCCAGAGTAATACATTTGTTACACTTGGTGAATCTACATGGACACATCTGTATCACCCAAAGTCCACAGTTTATATTAGGGTTCACTTTGGGGTTGTACAGTCTATGTTTTGACAAATATATGATAGCTGCTCATCATAATATCATACTCTCCCCTCTACCCCTAGCAACCACTGCTCATTTTACTGTCTCCATAGTCTTGCCTCTAGAGTTCATGGGAGGGAGTACTTTATCGGGGAAGAGGCCACCAACGACAGAACAATGAAGAGAACACTCTAGTTCTGTTAATTACTTGTGTCCATGGATTAAGAAAAAAATATTAATAGTAACCATAATTTTTGTTCTGAGAGTGTATTTTGAGTCATGTAGGAGGTTTTTTTTTTTTTTTCATATTATTAATACCTCACTTGACTCTCACAACAGCCCTTGCCCTTTTCAGTATGCCATATACTTGGGATCACACAGTATGTAGCTATTTCAGATAGGTTTCTTTCACTTAGTAATATGCAGTTCAGCTTCCCTCCTGTCTTTGCATGGCTTGATAGTGCATTTCTTTTTGCACTGAAGAGCATTCTATTGTCTGGATATCCTGCAGTGTATTTATCCATTCACCCACTAAAGGACATCTAGGTTGCTTCCAGGTGTTGACAATTACGAGCAAAGATGCTAAAAACATCCGTGTACTGGCTTTTGTGTGGACATCAGTTTTCAAGCTGGTATTTGGGTAAATACCAAGGAATGCAACTACTACATCATATGGTAAGAGTATGCTTAGTTTTGTAAGAAATTGCCAAACTGTCTTCCAAAGTGACTGTAACAAATACAGTTTTTATTAAGTGGATGAGCAAAGGGTTCATGGAGGTGAATACATTAGTCTAAGACTGGACAATATCCAGGGACTTCTACCCAGTGTCATCTGTGTTCCTCCCCGGCCAGTACTCAACCAAAGCAGGAACCTGGAGGCTGGGCCAAAGGTTCTGACCTGAAGACATCACACTGGGTTCTAGGTTTACTGGTCCCATTTTGGACTCTTCCTCTTTTCCCACAACCCTGTTCCACCCACAGCTTTCCTCATTGCAGTTGAGGGGAACTCTAACCTTCTAGTTCTAGGTTAAAAACCTTGGAGTCGGCAGGACACGGTGGCTCATGCCTGTAATCCCAGCATTTTGGGAGGCCGGTGTGGGCGGACCACGAGGTCAAGAGATGGAGACCATCCTGGCCAACATGGTGAAACCCCATCTCTACTAAGAATACAAAAAGTAGCTTGGCATGCTGGCACACACCTGTAGTCCTAGCTACTCGGGAGGCTGAGGCAGGAGAATCGTTTGAACCCAGGAGGCGGAGGTTACAGTGAGCCGAGATAGCACCACTGCACTCCAGCTTGTCAACACAGTGAGACTCCTCTGTCTCAAGAAAAGAAACAAACAAACAAAAAAACAACAAAACCTCCTCCCCAAACCCTGCAGTAAGCCTCAATCTCTTTTCTTCTTTCATACCTTATACTTATTCTTTCAAAAAATCCTGAAGACTCTTTCTTCACAATGTATCCAGAATCTGAACCTTTAGTGCTTCCATGTTAGTTTCAGCAATTTTTAGTGACGGCGTTAACTATCACCGTATTTATCCATTCACCCACCATCACCATGTAGTTAACACTGTCATTAATGTACTGATAAGCACTGTGTCTTCCACTTACAATTTTATACGTCTGATATTTGGAAGAATTTTACACAGACTAGCTTCTGGATCTGTACATTTCAAATATGTGGGTAGGAGAGAAGAAACGAGGTAATCGTCTTTCTGAACGAACCAAAATGACTCAACGAACCAAAGGTAATCTAGGATCAGAAGAAACAAGATTTCTTCTCTCCTACCCACATATTTCCAAGGCCAGGTGCTGCAGAACACTTTCATATCAGATGCCACCTCCAGTGCAAATTCCTGCCATGATGCCAGGTTAGTTGGCACAGTGGATGGCAGCATTCCCAGAAGTCATTTTTACATTTTACAACAGGATGGCAGAAAAGACCATGAACCACATAAATATATGCACTAAACCCAAACTAAATGTATCTGCAACTTGTTTCCTCCTTAGCTGGATCTTCAAAATTCTCCTTGTCCCTCCAATAGGAGGGGAAGTGTAATGGAGGTGAAGTTGGAATACAAAGAAACAGAACTCTTAACCAATAGCAATCCCAATACCTTGCCTTGGAAAATTTTACACAATTCTATGGCCAAGTTTCTCCCACACCCTGGAAAACACTTGCAAGTGAAGGGTTCCAAAATTTACCTTTCATCAGCTTCATGGTAAGTCAGCTTCTGGTATATGTTAAATTGCAACCTGATCCTTTCCCTCAGACATCCCCATTACTTATCTGCTTTTCTTGTTGCCCTAGTACCACCATCTTTAAGGTACTGTATAAATTATCTATTATGTCTTCCTTTGGTAGAAGATAAGCTTCATGAGGGCAAGAATCTTTGCTTGTTTTGTTCACTGATGTTTCTCAAGTTCCTAGAACAAGGCCAGGTACATGGTAGGTGCTCCATAAAGATTTGTGGATAAAGAAGTACAATAAATAATGCATAAATGGGTGACTGAACGAACCGAAGGTAATCTAGGATCAGAACTGTGATGATCTAGGACTTCAAAATTTAAAACTTTTGAGTTCTATTCCAGACTCATTTCCACTTAACCTTGGCCATGTCAATGAACCTTTCTGGGCCTCTGGTTTCTCGTGTATGAAATTAGGTGATTATTTATTCACTTAATTAATATCCATTGCAAACCAACTATGATCAAGGCATTCAAAGACTTCCTTACATTCAAGTGGTACCACTCAAAGCGCGGAATTCAGCGGCGTCATAACTCCCGCCTCTTCCAAGCCCCGCCCACCGCACGTCCATCTTTAGGCCCCGCCCCGATTCGGCTCAGCCCGCCCCCAGCGTAGAGGCACCACGTTTCCTCCCGCAGTCATCCAATAGCCGAGATACACGGCTAGGTGATTTGCGAGTTGGAGTTAGGTGTCCTCTTGGCGCCTGACCAGAGTCGGGAAATTCAGTTCCTCTTGAGTAGTCCCTTCCCCAAGTTGCCCCCGAGGTATGCGGGACAACGCGCTGCTCCACGTTCCCTCCCAAGGGTCAGACAAGTCTCTGGAGCCCAGTAGCTGCCCTCCCTAGGAGCCCCAGGTCTTTACTGGCCGAGGCGCCTGCCCCGCGGCATTCTGGGAGTTGTTGTTTTCTTCCTTCAGGTTCCTTTCTGGCCAGCCAGTGCCCGAGACTAGCGAGACTACGATTCCCAGATGCCCAAGCAAGTCGCCAGTCACGTGGCTGCAAGGACGCGAGGCTGGTGGGCGGGGGGCCGGCAGGTGCTCCGCGGCAGTCTGTGACACCGAGCCGGCGGGCCGCTCGGTCCCCGGAGACCCCGCCATGGTACGCGCGGGCGCCGTGGGGGCGCATCTCCCCACGTCCGGCTTGGACATCTTCGGGGACTTGAGGAAGATGAACAAACGCCAGGTGACAGAGGCGGGTGGTAGGCGCGCCCCAAGCCAGGACGGGCTGTGCTTGCCGGGAGTCGGGGTTTCCCGGGCAGGGCTCCGGCAAGGGCAGCTCCCGGTGACTGGGCCTGGCGGCCACCCGAAGCTCCGTCACTGGGCTGTCAGGCCTGGGTTCACATCCTCCGAGACCCACGTGTGGGCACGGGTGTGCACTTCCTCGCCCTGACGAGAGCACAGTTAGGGGAGGGTGCGGGAAAGGGGAGAATAGAAACCCCGTGCCATGGATGTCAGCTGTGGTTGAGAAAGCCACAACCACGCTGTGGGAGCGATGACTCGGTGCGCGACCGCTGTCCTCGCGTATGTGAGGGGCCACCCGGTGAAGAGGGAACCGATTTCTCTGTGGGGCTTCAGAGGCCTGACTGCCCGCAGGTGGAAGTGGCAGAAAGGCGGGCGAGAGGGGAGAACTTTCCTACAATGGGAGCTGTCCAGCGATGCCTCCCAAAGCAGTTTCCTCCCAGCCTGGACAGTTGTTTTTCCCCTGACCATGGGTCGGAACTAAATAACGTTCCTTGTGCCTAGACAGCTCACAAGCAGTGTGCAATCATTGTGGACTGAACCAGTGTTCCCAGTGGGATTCCAGAAGACTTCTCTAACTTCTTTCTGAGATTCTATCATTCTGGCCGCATTATGAATATAGAGGGCAGTGTAGGGTCTTTGGGCAGCTGGGGTGGTTGAATTCTCTCTGCTTTGTGAGAGGACTTCAAAGGAAAACGTTCCTCTTCCTCTCTCCTTAGCCACTTATTGGCCATCATCACTGTCTTTGGGTCTTTATCTCTTCACTATAAGGTAAGCGTGAGTAGGGATTGGAAAGGAAGCCCTCTCAGTCGGGGAATACACGATTATGTGAGCTTCTAGGTAGAGAATTTGGGGGATCTGGGGGCCTAAATATCATGGTGGATACGAATGCCACTATTACTACTGATAAATTGTGCTAAGAAAAATGGGACCTCCCAACCAGGGAGTTTTGATTGTCTTTGAAAAATGTCATTAATCCTGATTATTTTGATGGCATCCAGTTTCATTTGCTCCATTATGTTGAGATGTGGATTGGTGCTCATGGCAGGACACGACTTACTCCTTTAGGCATATGTGTTTTTTTCCCTCTCTCTCACTCTCCTCCCCCTCCCCCAAGTAGAATTTCAGACCAGAGCAGTGGTGTGGGAAAGTTTGATAATTTCTATTTCCCCAACCGTGTTTAGGATGTGGTAGTGTCTAGGTGTGCAAAGCTGATGAACTCCTGTTTCTGGAAGATGAGTTGTAGTAGAGATTATCACCAGCTTAAAAAAGTAACTGCTAATGTCCTGAGCATTGATGCTGTTCACAAGAATATCCTCCTAGAGGTAGAGCTTTGTTTAAAAATCTAGACTTAATGGCTGGATTTTTAAAATGTCTCCAAAATTGGTACTGATTACGGATGATTATAATTGCCGACTGTCAGAAAAGGCCTTCTAATGAGTGTATTGATTCCTAAACCAGTTTGCCCTTTGAAAGATCAGTGTGTTTTTGCTCTCAGTGTTAAGGCCTGCTGGTAGCTGCCTGTGTTGCCTGTTTTGCTAATCTTCGAATTAAAATTCAGCAAGCTCAAAGCCACTCCTTCTTGGTACTTTTGAAAAAGCTTTGTTCTTTTGCTTTTTTTCTGTCTCTCTTCTTCCATCCAAAATAGCATCTGATAACACCTTGTCAGGCCTGCAGGCTCCACCAGTCTTGAAAGCAGGACTTCCTTTCTCTGCTGCCCCTGCTTATTATTAATTAAGGCAGGACCCACATGCAAGACAAGGGCCCTTTGTTTCTGCAGTGAGGGAGAGAGGAAGAAATACAGCTACTGGCATTGCTGCTGCTCTGTCAGCCGAAATATTTGGTCTGAGATGTTTGCTTAAAACTCTTAGACAGTGGCTGTTTCGCCTTTGGTTGACAATGACTGAGTGTGGACTCATTTCTACACTCTGTTGTGACCACCAAATGCTGAGCATACAAAGTTGGTAGGCAAAACTGAACCACAAAAGCACCCATGAAACGTGGTGGTTGGTTTTTTTGTAGACCCCAGTCAGCCTGTCAGGAGTTCAATCAAAATTACTTTTCTGGATTCCAGGATTTTAAAGCTAGAATCTGATTAGTAGGTTTCTTAAAGTTAAGGTGTTGTAAGCATGATCTATGGTTTCTTAGTTCGATTTTTAGATTTTTGTGTATTTGGCTGTTTTCCTTAGCAGGTAGATGGCTTGCTCAAAGGAAGTTTTCTTGAGGAATTGATTTTTCTTCCCCTTAATGAAGTCTTCAAGCATAGAAAATAATACTGGCAGATATATTCTTGGTACGAGGTCTTTTTTAGATAAGTGGCAAGATTTTATAATTTGCTTTATCAGGGCGGAGCCAGCTGGTTTGAAAACTTGTCTAAAAATGGCAATCTTTGTTTAAAACCATGGTTTGGGGCTTTCCCAATCAGATCTGTGATTCATAAAGAAATAGTGGTTATTTATCAAGCCCTTTAAGTCAGCCAGAGCAGGTGGGGAGGTTTTTGAATGTGAACAACCTCTGCTTTAGAGTGATGTGACTTGCAAGGCTGATTTGACTTTAGACGCAATATTGGTGGTTGTTGGAAACTCAATATTTATTGAAGGAAGACATGAATTTTTTATCTAACTGCTCACTTGTTTGCATTCTTAAATATTTGCTTTGTGCTCTTTGATTTTTTGTTGCCATTATGGTGAAATGGTGTAAAGACTTAGATTGCTTCATGGCAACTTTCTGGTAAATATTCTTCATCTGATGAGGAATAAAAGACTACACACTGGGTACAGTGTACACTTGCTGCGGTGACAAGTGCACCAAAATCGTAGAAGTCACTGCCAAAGAACTTATCCATTAACCAAAAGAAGGAATGGTTTAACGCAGGCGTCCCCAACCTTTTTACACAGGGGGCCAGTTCACTGTCCCTCAGACCGTTGGAGGGCTGCCACATACTGTGCTCCTCTCACTGACCACCAATGAAAGAGGTGCCTCTTCCTGAAGTGCGGCGGGGGGCCGGATAAATGGCCTCAAGGGGGCTGCATGCGGCCCGAGGGCCGCAGTTTGGGGACGCCTGGTTTAACGTATTACAGCCCAAAACTTTGACAATGTCTGCTTAGCACTCCAGTTTCCTTTTTCACTCTCCTGACAATATAATGATAGTTTCATAATTTGCTATTGACACAGTAGCCAAGTTGCTTTTAAAAATTGTGTGTAGGCTGGGCACAGTGGCTCACGCCTGTAATCCTAGCACTTTGGGAGGCTGAGGTGGGTGGATCATTTGAGATCAGGAGTTTGAAACCAGCCTGGCTAACATGGTGAAACCCTGTCTCTACTAAAAATATAAAAATTAGCCAGGTGTAGTAGCACATGCCTGTTATCTCAGCTACTTGGGGGGCTGTGGCAGGAGAATCGCTTGAGCCTGGGAGGCGGAGGTTGCAGTGAGTTGAGATTGCACCATTGCACACCAGGCTGGGCAACAGAGCAAGACTCTGTCTCAAAAAAAAAAAAAGTGTGTAACTTTAATGGTGAATTATATTTATTTTCCTGTTCTCATTTATTGCACCAAAATACATGAACAATTATCTTAATTAACTTTTTATGTCCTCACTTTCAGTTGTATCCTTCATAATGGCCTCAAATTACCTATTTTCAGTTTTAATATTAGCAAGAGATAGTTTTGAGCTCTGCTTTTCCTACCTTACATCAATCAGAATATGTTTTCAGAACAGAGAATAGTTTAAAGAAGAAAATTCAATGACTCATAATTTCACCATCCTAAAATAGCCTCTCTCAGCATCTTGGGGCATGTCTTTGTGTTTATCATTTGGTGAGATTTTACTGCAGCTTACATTTTTCACTCAACATACTGTAAATGTTTGGTTATGTCATTAAAGTTCCTCTTTTTTTTCTCCCCCAACCCAACCTGCTTTCTCCTCCACTCCTATTAAGTTCTTTATGCATTGTTTTAAATAGTGAAGTAATCTGTCATTTTCTTTTTTTCTTTTTTCTTTTTTTTTTTTTTGAGATGGAGTCTTGCCCTGTCCCCCAGGCTGGAGTACAATGACACTATCTCGGCTCACTGCAACCTCTGCCTCCCAGGTTCAAGCGATTCTTGTGCCTCAGCCTCCTGAGTAGCTGGTACTACAGATGCCCACCACCACACCTGGCTAAGTTTTGTATTTTTAGTAGAGAAGGGGTTTTACCACGTGGGCCAGGCTGGTCTTGGAACTCCTGACCTGAGGTAATCCACCCACCTCGGGCTCCAAAAGTCTTGGGTTACAGGCATGAGCCACTGTGCCCGGCCCCATTTTCTACTCATGATTTCCCTATTGTTGCTTATTTATTTCCTTTCCCACATTATTAGAATTAAGACTGTAATGAATATCTTTGGGCCATAATTCTCAACCTGCCTTTAGTTTAGATTGAATTCCTGGAAGTAGGATTAGTGAGCCAAGAGTAACTTTTTAATACCAATGCCAAATTGCTTTTAGAATAGTTTATCAAATCATATCCCCATCACAGTATATTGTTGCCAGCACTAATTATTAGCATTAACAACAACAACAACAAACGGACTCTTTAAATTTGTTAGGCAAAGGCTAGATGTGGAGTTTACGCCTATTATCCCAGAACTTTGGGAGAATTGCTTGAGGCCAGAAAGTTTAAGACCAGCTTGAGCAATATAGAAAGACCCCATTTCGACCGAAGAAAAAGATTTTAAAACTAACCATGCATGCCAGTGCACACCTGTAGTCCCAGCCACTTGGGAGGCTGAGGTGGGAGGACCCCTTGAGCCCAGAAGTTTGAGGCTGCGTTGAGCTATGACTGCACCACTGCATTCTAGCCTAGGTGACAGAGTGAAAGAAAGAAAAAAAAAGTTGCTAAAAACAAAAAAAGGGGTTGCAAGGAGGGTGGAGGCAGGATTATTGGTTTGAACTTTTTTTTTTTTTTTTGAGACAGAGTTTCACTCTTGTTACCCAGGCTGGAGTGCAATGGCGCGATCTCGGCTCACCGCAACCTCCGCTTCCTGGGTTCAGGCAATTCTCCTGCCTCAGTCTCCTGAGTAGCTGGGATTACAGGCACGTGCCACCATGCCCAGCTAATTTTTTGTATTTTTAGTAGAGATGGGGTTTCACCATGTTGACCAGGATGGTCTCGATCTCTCGACCTCGTGATCCACCCGCCTCGGCCTCCCAAAGTGCTGGGATTACAGGCGTGAGCCACTGCGCCCGGCCTGGTTTGAACATTTTTATGTTTATTTGTCACTTGTATTTTCTCTTTGGAAAATTATAATTTTAAGCTTTTACCTTTCTTTGTTGGGATTTTAGTGTTTTTCTTACTGCTGATTTGTTTGTACTCACCATGTATTAAAGATATTTTATTACTATTTATTCTACAAATTGAATACTTACTTTTTGCCAAACCTATATTGAATCTTAAGGATACAGCTATGAGCAAGGCTAAAATGATCCCTACTTTTGTGGAATGTAATATCTAGTGCAAAAGATGCATTAGGTAATTATGTGCCTAATTGTGATGCTGATGAAAGATATAAATATATACAGGATGCAGTGAGAATATATAACAAGAAGACCTAGGCTGGCCAGAGTGGAGGTAGGCAAACTCCACTGCACCAGCCGTTTTTATAAAGTTTTATTGGCACACAGCCCATGCTCATTCTTTTACATACTGTCTATGGCTGCTTTCCTGCTACATTGGCAAGGCTGAGTAGCTTCAATGAGACTATGTGGCCCATAAACATAAAACATTTACTGTCTAGCCCTTTACACAAAATGTTTACTGATTTCTGGTCTAGCAGGTCAGGGCAGGCTTCTGTCGGGCACTGACATTTAAAGGTGAATGTAAAGGTGAGTGTCTGGTAAACTAAGGTGAAGGCCTGGGGCAGAAAGAAGCATGTGAGGTTGAAGCATGGACAGATTGGGGTGAGGCAAGCTTCACCAGCTGAAGCTGGGGCTTGGGGGATATATAAGACAGGGCCTTAGAGGCCAAACTATAGTTTAGTCTTCATTCTCAGAGTAGTGGGATGCAATCAAAGGGCTTTAGGCAGGGCACAGATGTGACCAGGTGACCGGATGTGCATTTGAAACCCAGTACAGTCAAGCACCGTATCATGTTTCCATCAATGATGGACCACATCCATGATGGTGGTCCCATAAAATTATACCATATTTTTACTGTGCCTTTTCTATTTTTAGTGACACAACTACCAGTGTGTTACAGTTGCCTGTAGTGTTCAGTACCATAGCATGCTCTGTAGGTTTCCAGCCTAGGAGCAACAGGCTACATCATATAGCTTCGGGGTGTAGTAAGCAACACTCTCTAGGTTTGTATAAGTACACTCTATGATTCTCAAACAACGACAGAATCACCTAACGCATTTTCGAGAATGTGTCTGTCATTAAGTGACACATGACTGCTCTGAGTGTGGCACAGTGTATGGACTGGAAGCGGTATGCGTGGGCATTAGGAGACCTGCTATGAGGCCCTCACGGCAGCCTGATGGGCCCTGTGGGTGATCGTGAGAGTGGTGGCATGGGAATAGAGGGAACTGCACAAACTCCAGACATGTTTGGAAGCTAGAATGTATAGAATGAACAGGTAGAAGGTGGCTCCAAACAGCAGGGTGGTAATAATGTCATTTACTGAGAGAAAGATCACTAGCACCAAAACCTTTTTGGAGAAGGTAAGTGTAATTTTGACATGTTGAGAATAAGGTCTCTTTAGAGATATCTTAAGTGGAAATGTCAGGTAGGGAGTTGGAAGTCTCAGAATTGGGAGTAGTTAGCATGGTGGGACCAATGCCAGCATTCAGGCAGAGAAGGAGGTCCAGGCAGAGGAGGAGGCTCAGGCAGAGGAGGAGGCGCAGGCAGAGGTGGAACAACGGGCAGGAAGACAAGAAAGTGGTCAGAAGTAGATGGCATGCCATCCTGGAAGGCAGGGGCTGAGGGTTTGAAGCAATGATCATCTGTATTGAGAGCTGCTGGCAGGTCAGGTAAGGTGAGGGCTGACAGTTAGCCTTTGGATTTAGTGAGCATGTGACTGATTACGTAGGTTGAAGACTGAATATAGATGGTGAGGAAGGGGAGCCACTCGGGGTAGACACTGTTTTGAGAAGAGCTGTGAAGGAGAAGGGAGAGTGTAAAAGCTGGAGGAGGGTGTGAGGTGGAGGCAGAGTGAGCGATGGGAAAGTCTTTAGCTGATGGGAGGAGGAGGTGTAGAGCTGTGGTGCAACCTTCACTGCACCTCAGAATCGCCCCACTCCTCTCAGTGATCCAGCTGGTCTGGGATGGACTTTCCAGGGCTTCCCGGATGAGAGCCAATGGTACAGAGCAGTGGTTCTCAAACCGTGGTCCCTACACCAGCAGCTTTCGTGTCACCTGGGAACGTGTCTGAAAAGCAGTTCTCACACACCGCCAACTGACCCTAGTGCATGCTGAGGCTTGCAAGCCACTTCTATAAAGAACCGTCCAGACACTGAGAAGTCAGAGCACGTAGAACCACCTGGCAAGTCTCTATTTGGACTTCCTGAGTGTCTCTCAGCCCCACTTTTCCAGGCCTTGTGTATTTTAAACTATTTAAACTGTGTTTAAAACTGTGTTTTAAGTCGTACTCAGTGCTCAAAAAGAGTTCCTACCACCACATTCCACCTCAGTGAAAATTTAACGTGGATAAAATGATGGTGCCCAGAGCCACGTGATCGAGGTCCTCACTCCAAACGCAATTCAATAGGATGTTCTGGAGAGCTGATGGGAGCTAAGGTGGGCTCTCACCCGTCTAACACCACTGCCTCTAACACATGAAAACTATTTAATAGCAAGGAGATTTTAGAAGTTATCAGTTACTCCAGGATAAGTCAGGGAAAGGAAACAAGATCAGCCAAATACTAGAAGCTGGAAAACAGATGGAAGATGGGAACTGGCATAGCCAGAGAAAGCCAGGATCCGAGCGTCCCTGGGGGAGGCTGTGGCTCTTCAGTTCTGTGAGGCAGAGGGAGTCCTCAGAGACCCGGCCATCAGTGTCCCAGAACTGGAGGCGAAGGAAAGGAAGGACTGAAATAAATTTGATGGGGAGAAAAGCAGAGAGGCAGTGAGATCCCTCGCTCTCCTGTGTCTTCCACTCAGAGGCCTCACCCTCCTCAGCAGAGGAGGTGAATTCATTCGCTGGAGAGGGGAGCAGAGATCTCTGGAGGAAGGACTGCCCGGCCTGGTGGGGTATGTGGCTCCTGCCCTGTAAGTGACTGCGCACGCTGCATGCTGAGAGTAGAAAAACAGAAATGAGGGGTGGAGAAACTGACAGAATACAGGTTCTCAGGTATAGGCGAACACAGAAGCCAGGAGAATAGGCACCTGAGGCCCGGTGGACATGGGTCACTGAACCAGAGATGTGGGGATACAGCCGTTTCGGTTCCAGGGTGTGTTGCTGAGAGCTTACATCAGAATAGTCCCAGAGGAGGGAACGGCGCTGGAGATGTGGATGGGGGTCCAGGAATTGAGACAGCACAGTGTTGATGGACCACCCGCCTGGCTCTGCAGATCACCTCAACAACTGCAGGGTTGTGAAGAAGACTGAGGCAGGCACCACAGTAAGGAGCCTCCCTGAGGCGTGCTGGCGCTGCCACGAGGGCTTTGATTTTGAACGGCACTAGCCACAGCAGCGTTAGTCCCTGCAGCGCCTGGAAGAAAGGCGGACGTTTGGGCTGATAAGTCAGCTCCAGCCCGACAGGGTGTTGGCACATGGGCACGTGTTATTTACTCCTTTGGCCACCAGGAGTTGGCAGGTGCAGCAGGCAGCTGTCAGCAAGGAAGAGCCTGTGTGTCAGCTCGTGCCATGCTGCAGGGAGCAAGGCAAGCCCCATGGGTCTAAACATAGTGGTTTGAGGTGGAGCGGGTGGGCCGCCTTCTCAGAGCTAATGTGATTATGCATCACCTCTTGTGACCCTCCCACCTGCACTCTTAGCCAAATATTTGTTATTTACCTTTTAAAACATTTATGAAAGATCTAAACATCCAGGTGTTTAGAGTTTCTGTTCACTGGTTTTAAAATGTCATTTTCAGATGCAGGATGGCCTCATTGCCAAGAACTACAAGACTCTGAAGCTTCCATTTAAGGCTGCAGGGTAGTTCTAGGTGAATGCACAGTGTGTGGATCTGGGTTAGACCTGTCTCACTCTGCTGCGCTGTGTCTGGGACTAGTCTTCATAGGGAGGCTCTCGTGGCAGGCCTTGAGTAGCGGAACTTTCTAGGGTATAAGGTGCTGGGAAATCCCAAAGGGGTGATGCGGGCCTCCTCCAGGCTTTAACGAGGCAAGCCCCACAGATTGTTCTTTTCTTCCTCCCCTGTCTCTCACTTAAGGAGAGATGATCTTTGCAAGGCTCTTTCCAGGGACAAAAGTTGAAATACTGTGGAATTTTGTACCCTGTATGTGTTCATTTCCTGTCCTAAAATCGTGTCTTTGAAAAAGTCTGATAAGTGCATCTCCAGCTGCAGGTTGGTGGATCTCCTGCTATCGGTTTTCATTGCGGTTTCCTCTTTTTCATTCCAGCTCTATTACCAGGTTTTAAACTTTGCCATGATCGTGTCTTCTGCACTCATGATATGGAAAGGCTTGATCGTGCTCACGGGCAGCGAGAGCCCCATCGTGGTGGTGCTGAGGTAGGTCCCGCAGGCTGGCCTCCAGCCTCCATCACAAGGTCCCCTGGACCTGAGGAGTAGGGCAGCCTTAATTAAATTTAGCATGACAGCTAAAATTCAAGATTTTACTGGGATACATGCCGATATTCCCTCAGGGTGGCTGGCAAAATATGGAAAATATTTAGGGAAAGTTACAGATTGTAACCTCAAACGTTTTAGAAGGCTGAAAGGTTTTATTGAGGCAGGTTGAAAGCAGCCGCCTCGTTAACCTTAGCATCAGAAAGAGAGAGAGACTGATGATACATTATTAGTCCTTATTGATATCTATTTTGAGAATGTCTCGTTTTTTTTTCTGGCTTTGGAAAAATCTTATCTTTATTAAGAGACATTTTAGAGCTTTTAACCACGTTGATGCCCATGCGCCTAATCCATTTCAAATGACAATTTAATAATATGGTATAAATGCATTATTTGTATACAATTTGATTTTTAAACAGAATTAAAAGTGTTAGTTCATTTTCTTTGTACCCACTAGGCAGGGAGTGTGTCTCCCCAGAGCACAGCATGTGGCTAGTATTTTTTTCATTTCTTCAATAATACTGGTGTATTGGTGGCTACTGTCTTCTTGAGACTGTGATGCTTATAAAGTGGAGCATGTTTATTTTAGAAAAGTTAACACTAGAGTTAACTTCACACAGCCATAAAGCCGTCTAAGGAGAAAAACTTCACATCAATCTGAAATCAAATGGCTGTGTTTGGGAACTAGTAGGTGCTTCAAGATGCTCTCTGTCTGCTGTATGTTAGGTCATCAAATCTGACTGTTGTTTTCAAGGTGGCATGGTGTGCAGTGGCAGTAACTTGGGCAGAGTCACAGCCTACCAGTCAGGAGCCGAGGCCAGAACACAGGGCTCTTAGCTCCCAAACCAGTGGTGCCCTTTCCCTCCGCTGGGCCTTGCCACCACCTCGAGGGGCCACAGCCACGATCCACGCTTCACCAGGCTGCTCTCACATGGTTGGTCAAGGGGCACACTTCCAGAGATAGGATTTAGAAGCTGGAGGCCAGCAGAGCTGTGGGACCTCTGACTCACTCATATTCACGCTGTGCTTTGGGGACACCCCTGGGGTCTGGGTGGGTAGATTAGGAGAAGGGACCCACACTCATGGATTTGGGAAGCCTTAGCCTTGCCTCACATATAACAGCTCCCCTTTTATGTGTTTTATGTGGTTATACTTCCTGGTAAGATTTCATTTGAAGGAAGGATTTTAAGGCTTTTTAACATTTATTTATTTATTTATTTATTTTAAGAGGAAGGAATTTAAAACCTCAAATTTAGATGGACCCTCTCCCTTAACAGATAAGGAACCTGAGGCCCAATGAGGCCAAGCCTCAAGCACCTCCCGGGAACTTTTGGCAGAGCCAACACTAGATCTCAGATTTTCTGGCCCTCCTCAAATCTCATAGACACACTTGCACACAGAAGGTAGTGTGAAATTGCTGCACTTAGGGACTTTTTTTTTTTAAAGCATCCTTTGTAATATTAAAGCAATTTGGTTTGTCAACATAAACCAATGACATCCCTAAGGGATGTGTAGTTTTGAGGAATCTGGCCCATGAGGAAAGCAAGTAGACATTGATATTCATGAAACATTGAAAAGAACTGCTCTCCTGATGGGACATAATAATGACCCTTGATGTCAACTTCAGGACACCCTGGCCTCTGCAGTCTGTGCAGGGATCTTTTCCTAGCGGCAGTTCGCTTAACTGTTACTTTTCTATCAACATCTTCCCACTGTATCTTCAGGAATTTTGTTGAAGGAGTAAAGATGAGGCCACAGATGAAGCAATTATCTTAAACATTTCGGCATCTTTTTTCCCTGAAACAATTATGTTTTATTTTCAGAAGAGGACAAAACAGAATTTCACATTGAGGGACAGGAAAAACTCACATTTGTTTTGACTTTGATGGTTTCTCTTTCTTTCCCTCAAGTCAGTTGTATTTCTAGCCCTTTTCCCTGTCATTCAGATTGGCTGGTTTTGAATGCTGCATCCATTATCATACTTAGTGGCACTGGTTTCACTTAAACATAAACCTGTTAGCAGATACTTAGTGACAGGCTGCATTTCTCCTTGCCATCTTCTGCACCTGCTGAGATGTTCAAGGTGGGCCGGACTGGAGGGGAGGGAGGGCCAGCTTCCTGAGCCCCTGTGGAGAGCGAACAGTTTCCTTTGTTTCTGCTAGAGCTCCACGGGGCTTCAGTGGTTCTTTCTCCACGTTTCTTCCTGCCCAGCAGCCAGTACTCATCCTTGGTTGCACAGACCCGGTCAAGCTGTATCTTTAGATCTGATTTTCTCAAGTATTAAAACAGCATGAGCACATATATATGCTGAATATTTTAAACTTCAGCTTCTAGCATATTGCAGTTTACCTTGAATCCACCAAAGATTTTGGCACAGGTTTACACGGGTGTCATGTGGAATTATTTATTGACTTCCACAATAACTTAGTCAGTGTTGGTTAGAATTGGGCTTTTGTAGAGTGTGGTTGAAAGGACGCTGCTGCAGGAGGCAACAGACATGGCTTCTGGTTTTGTCCCAGCCCTCAGCTTCGCATTAGCGTGGTTCTGCTCCCAGGTTCATTCATTTGTTCCTCATTTTGTAATCAAGTAAGTATTGCGGTATCCTAAGTGCTGGGATCTTCCATGAAATGAAAGGATTGCCCTAGACGATGAACTAGCTGTAAATCCGCAGTTCTGGAGGAAAATACTACTATATTTGTAGATGCAGGACTTCTTTTAAAGCCAAAATTGGGTGCTTTTACTTCGAAGTCGACATGAATCCTGGTTTCTTTTCTACCTGATAAAAACTGCAGAGGGTCCTGCCAGTGCCCATGACATGTTAAATCTCAGTAGAAGTCATTTCCTTTCACACACGTTACCACCTTGAGCAGTAAGAAGGAAACCACAGTGGCTTGTTTCATAGCTCCTGAGACCTCCTTAACTATTGAGTTTCACCTCTGACATGTTTATTCTTACCACCTTCTGGACACAGGGTAATGCTGATACCGACTTTGTGCTTCTTTCTAGTGGCAGTATGGAACCGGCCTTTCACAGAGGAGACCTTCTGTTCCTCACAAATTTCCGGGAAGACCCAATCAGAGCTGGTGAAATAGTTGTTTTTAAAGTTGAAGGCCGAGACATTCCAATAGTTCACAGAGTAATCAAAGTTCATGAAAAGTAAAGAGGCTTTACTTCTTTTGGTTTTGTTTTGTAAATTTTTGGTAGATTCATGGCCAATTAGAAACTCTCATAAAAGCACTGGATTATGTTCTGAGTTCTGCCATTGATTGACTCATTAGGTGACTTTGGACCAGCTGCTTAACTCTTTCTGTAGGATGGGAGTTGTCATAGTTAAACCATAGTAACTCACAGAGTGATGATGAGAATTAAATGAGCTAATGTTTACTAAAGCAATTAGGAAACTTAAATTGCTGCACAAATTTAAGGTGTGATATATTATGACATGTTAGTTATTTGAAGGAGCGCAAAGAAAATCAAATCACATTGCAACAGAGGATGGTTTTGATATGAAAATTATTTTCTGAAATGCAAAAAAAAAAAAAACCCTAGTGGTTTTTCTATGTCACTTGGGCCAAAATGGCATTCTCAGCAGTCACATTAGTCCTGGATGGATAAAAATTCCTTTTCCCAACTCATCTCATGATTTGGTCATTGCATATTCTGCACTAATTTTCCACCTCCCCGTCCTCCACTCCCCAAACAGCCTTGCTGTTAATAACAGCCATGACTTACTTCTTAAGACCCTTTCCTGGAACCAGAAAGGTTTACTTCATGCTCAAATATATAAAGTTCCCATGAGAGAGTACTTGGCATGATTAGTAAAAATGTTACATTTCACATACTTGGTTATTCAGTTACCTTTATGCAGCTTAGTATAGATGTTTATCTGTATGAGTTATAGAAGTAAATTCAGGTATGCATATGTGTATTTTTAAATGATGGAGCATTTCTCACTGTGTATGTGTGTGTGTGTTTGAGTTAGAGAGGGAGAAAGACAGGTAACTATTTGTACATATCTGGTATTAGATTCCCATTCCATTCACTGCTTCTGTTTTTGAGATGGAGTCTTGCTCTGTCACCTAGACTGGGGTGCAATGGCTTGATCTACCCTCATTGCAACTTCTGCCTCCCAGATTCAAATGATTCTCCTCCTACCTCAGCCTCCCAAGTAACTGGGACTACAAGCATGCGCCACCATCCCTGGCTAATTTTTTTTTTTTTTTTGAGACAGAGCCTCACTCTTGTCTCCCAGGCTGGAGTGCATTGGCACGATCTCAGCTCACTGCAACCTCTGCCTCCTGGATTCAAGCAGTTCTCCTGCATCAGCTTCCCAAGTAGCTGGAATTACAGGCATGCGCCGCTACACCTGACTAATTTTTGTATTTTTAGTAGAGGTAGGGTTTCACCATGTTGGCCATGCTGGTCTTGAACTCCTGACCTCAGGTGATCGCCTACCTTTGCCTCCCAAAGTGCTGGGATTACAGGCATGAACTACTGTGCCCACCCATTTACTGCTTCTATACGGTATACCCTACAGATAATGATAAAGTGTTGATTTCACACTGCTCTAAACATGAGAATAATCCAGTTTCAAACTGTGCTGATACACTGGTCCTTTACTAGTAGTTACTTGATTGCCTACTTGTTAGATTCCTGAGGAAGAAGCATGCTCAGTCATGATGTGACAGTTCTCGCACTGACTTACAATTAATTTCTAAAGATGATCAATTGTTCCAAGTTGAGGAAATGATGATTATTTGCTCTAATTTTCATAAATTATGATAGACTGTCAGCATTTTCATCTTCTTGATTTACTTTTTAACCATGGTTGCAAATCAGCTTGCTCTTCTTGATATGGTTTCAGATCTTTGGGGGCTTCTGGCATTTTATCTCATTACAATAGTGCATTCCTTTTTCGTTTGTCCTATTGAAAGAAGACCCTCTGTACAGCTCCATTATGCTACAGTATTATGTGTCTAGAGACAAGGCTATCTGAGCATCCGTTTAGAATGCTTAAAATGAATCCCACATTTCTCTCTAACACACTGGTTTTATGCCATTTGTGATTCGTGTTTCTTTACAAATTAGACTTTATACCACTGTGGTCAGTGGTGAAGGAAATAATGCAGTAACAAATTCTTCATTTGGCAAGGAAAAGTAAATCTAAGGACAGCTTAGAGCACACTTGCATTTAAATTACCTTGTGCTCAAGTCTGTTTGATCTAGGATCAAGTTTATATCTAGAGTGAAGAGGAATATAATCCATGTTAACAAATTGGTCCATGAGGCCAAGTGCAGTGGCTTATGCCTGTAATCCCAGCATTTTGGGAGGCCGAGGCAGGTGAATCACTTGAGGTCAGGAGTTCTAGACCAGCCTGGCCAACACAGCAAACGCCATCACTACTAAAAATACAAAAATTACCTGCATGTAGTGGTGCATGCCTGTAATTCCAGCTACTCAGAGGCTGAGGCGGGAGAATTGCTTGAACATGGGAGGCAGAGGTTGCAGTGAGCTGAGATCATGTCATTGTACTCCAGCTTGGGAGTTTGAGACTCCATCTCAACCAACCAACCAACCAACCAGCCAACCAACCAAAAAACCAAATTGTTTTATGAGCTCCAGGGGCTGAAGACAGTTTAAGTACAACACAGGTTGTTAAACCAGCTTCATGTCCTGACTTCTGACCTATGCTGACTTGAGGTGAATGACTGAAGTGGGCCTGGAAAAGCGCCTTGTCAGCAGCCTTTTGGTGTATTATGAATCTGGACTTGAAAGAATTGCACAGTGGTGATTCACATGATTTTGCCCACTACTGAATGACACGAACACACTTGTTTTCGATTTAAAAATGTTAGGTACTAGTTTATTCTTCATTCCCAGAAGCCATGTGGTGAGAAGGGATTCTTCATTCTGTGCTGGGCTAGAAGCAAGTCATTGCCCTTGTGCTTGGTCATGCTTTTTGTTGTCAGGGTTACTTGAGTGTTTTGGAATGTGAGTCTACAAAATTGTTACGAGATCTGTGCGTCAGTTGAACGGCTGTCTGTAAGCAGTCGTCTTAGGCTACAGGAAGGTCAAGTTGTCTTTGACTGCTTTTCTGAATGCTCCTGTCTAACAGTAAAGTCTTGGGTAAACTAATATTTTTCTAAATGATGCTGTGCTGAAAATAATTTTTGAGAAGACATTATTTTGCTTTCCAGAGATAATGGAGACATCAAATTTCTGACTAAAGGAGATAATAATGAAGTTGACGATAGAGGCTTGTACAAAGAAGGCCAGAACTGGCTGGAAAAGAAGGACGTGGTGGGAAGAGCAAGAGGGTGAGGATTCACCTTTATGCTATATGACGTTTCCAAAAAACATTTAGAAATGAAGAAACTAAACGGATAGGCTAATAGAGTTGTTAATTACAAATATGACATATTAGGAGAGTTCTAAGCAGTTCTAGTTTATTCTGTAAAGATTAAATACAACTTAGAATTTCCTAAAGACCTAAAATCTAAAACTGAACCCAAGTATATTATCTATATGATGGGTTCAAATCTGCTTAAAAATAAATCCAGCCAGGCACAGTGGCTCACACTTGTAATCGTAGCACCTTTGGGAAGCCAAGGCAGGAGGATCACTTGAGCCTAGGAGTTCAAGACCAGCCTGAGTAACATAGGGAGACGCCCCCATCTCTCTTAATAAAAATTAAAGTTTGGGGCTGGGTTCATTGGCTGATGCCTGTAATTCCAGCACTTTGGGAAGCCAAGGCAGGCAGACCACGAGGTCAAGAGATGGAGACCATCCTGGCCAACATGGTGAAACCCCATCTCTACTAAAAATACAAACAAATTAGCTGGCCGTGGTGGCGCACGCCTGTAATCTCAGCTACTCCAGAGGCTGAGGCAGGAGAATTGCTTGAACCCGGGAGGTGGAGATTGCAGTGAGCCGAGATCACGCCACTGCACTACAGCCTGGGTGACAGTGTGAGACTCTGTCCCCACAAAAAGAAACTATCTTTAATTAGCTTTGAGGTATAGACCTACTAGATTGTTAGTATTCAGGTTTCTTGTGTAGGTTTCAAATTGTTATGGAAATATATCACTACTTAAAATATGTGCTGTTTACCTCTTAAAAACAAAGCCTTGACTGGGCACGGTGGCTCATGCCCGTAATCCTAGTACTTTGGGAGGTCAAGTTGGGCAGATCACGAGGTCAGGAGATCGAGACCATCCTGGCCAACATGGTCTTTATTAAAAATACAAAAATTAGCTAGGCATGGTGACGCGTGCCTGTAGTTCCCACTATTCAGGAGGCTGAGGCAGGAGAATCACACCACTGCACTCCAGCCTGGGCAATGGTGCGAGAGACTCTGTTGAAAAAAAATTGTTTTTTGTTCTAAAAAACGAATAAAAATAAATCCTCACTGAGAGATTAGTTGTTTGTGGATTTTAAATAACCATTACAAGAAAGTCTCCCAGAGATAACCATTGTTTAACATTTTAGGGAATACTGCAGATACTCTCAGGGCTGGTATAGATGTACGTTATGCATATATATAATTTGACTTAAAGTTTGATTGTTTTTCATCCAACAGGAAGTTGGAAATAGCTTTTCGTGTCAAATCTACATCTGTATCTTTTTATGTGGCTACAAGCTGTTTTATTGCAAATCATAATTTATTTAACCAATCCCCTTTTGGTGGACATATAGATTATTTTCGGGTTTTCAGAACTAAGAACATTTCTGTGATACATCTCTTAGTATTCATCTTTGTATAGTTGTCTGGCAGAGAGTTCTGCTTCTGATTGACATAGCAGAGAATATATCCTTATTAAAAACTAAAAAAGGGAGTTCTTCCCCTCTCTTGGCAACCCTTTTTATGTTTAACAATCGTTAGAAATGTTTTTTTGTGTTACCTAAATCTCACCAGCTTCTTTCTTAAGGCTGGAGAGACTGGCTACCATTTTGTAAGATTTAGCATTATTAATCAGATCGTAGCTTTAAGGCTTCTTCCTACTCCTTTAATCATTTTTCTTTGTTGCATTTTCACTTGAATATCTCCAGGGGCCAGGAGGGCTTCCAGCTAGTCCATCCTGTCTTTCCAGATGCTCTGGTGAAAGGTTTTGGATGAGAGAGAGGCTGGAGCTACCGATTTATGAAAGACTAGAGGGTACTATGGGTGTGCTGCCCTGTTCCCCATTAGCAGAGATGATTGAGGCTGGGTCAATCTGATTACATATTTCTGTTAAATTTTGTCAGCATAATCATTGGCTGGTTTATGCACTGAACCTCCACTCTCTGGGATCATAATCATATTTGAGTATAAGTTATGGTATTCACATTTGTATTTGCTACCCCATACACTTATTTATTATACTTTAAAAGCACTGGGAAATGAAAATAGTTATTTGCATTACAAACTCATTATCCATGTGTTTTGAAAGCTTTATCTAACAGCAGTTTTTATATAGGCTACCTAAATCTAAGCAAGAACTAGATTTGTGAAAGTTGCCTATTCTTTTTGTACAAGTGGCTCAACTATTTTAATTGTAGCAAGTGAAGACAAGCGCATCCTATTTCAACCCAAGTGCCTGCTTAAAAAACTTGTCCTGGCTGCCAGTGCTGATGCTCCTTACTAATAAAGCTGTTTGAGACAGGGCTGAATCCATCCTTACAGCCCTGGTCAGAGGCACTTCCATGTATGATTCATTTCCTAAGACTGATTTATATAGTGTTTTCAGATGTTGCCATCATCACTTTATAAACAATTGTTATATTTCTTGCTTTTTATCCCACAATTTAGGTTTTTACCATATGTTGGTATGGTCACCATAATAATGAATGACTATCCAAAATTCAAGGTAGGAATTTATGTGTGTCTATGTTTATTTACTTAGTTAAATATTAGCGCTTTTAGTTGTACAGCTGTAAAGAGGCAGTCTTCTTAAAACATGTTGCCATTAATTTGCCTGCAGAATATCTGTAGTTAACTACAAATTAATGTAGTCATTTAAAGTGGCAACACTTAAATTATTTAAAATAGCTCTTAGCCCTTGTGTGTTCAGTGTTCTAAAATGCATTTATCTAAATATTGCTTTTTATTATGGAAAATTTCATATGTACACAAAAGTAGTGCCATAAACCACTAATGCTTACCTCTCAACTTCAACAAAAATGGTATCTATCTATCTATCTCTCAATCTGTTTTTTTTTTTTTTTTTTTCTGAGACAGAGTCTCGCTTTGTCACTCAGGCTGGAGTGCAGTGGCACAATCTTGGCTCACCACAACCTTCGTCTCCTGGGTTCAAGTGATTCTCCTGCCTCAGCCTCCTGAGTAACTAGAATTACAGGCATCCGCCACCACACCCAGCTGATTTTTGTATTTTTAGTAGAGACAGGGTTTTGCCATGTTGGCCAGGCTGGTCTTGAACTCCTGACCTCAGGTGATCCACCTGCCTTAGCCTCCCAGAGTGCTGGGATTATAGGCATGTATCTATCTATCTATCTATATTTTTAAAATCACTTGAAAAACAGTGGGAAACCTACACAGGAGTAAGCACTGCCTTTGCTGTGTGTGTTTGCTGCCTGATCTTTAGTCCTTCAGTATATTTTTGGGTTTTTGACTATAATGTGGCATTGAACAGCTCATTTAGAGAACAAGGCATGGGAGGAGGAGGTCATCTTTTGATTCTGTCCTCAGCCCAGTATTTAACAGACTTCATCTGAATACGTATACAGACCAAATTTATTTGTAGACCTCACAGTGATTTTCCATTGTGTTTTCTTTACAGTATGCTCTTTTGGCTGTAATGGGTGCATATGTGTTACTAAAACGTGAATCCTAAAATGAGAAACAGTTCCTGGGACAGATTGAAATGAATTCTGTTGAAAAAGAGAAAAACTAATATATGTGAGATGTTCCATTTTCTGTATAAAAGGGAACAGTGTGGAGATGTTTTTGTCTCGTCCAAATAAAAGACTCATCAGTAAAGATGGCTTTCTTTTGTGGACTCTGATTTGAATCTGCTCAATCTCTCTCCAATTGTATGAGACTCTACACTGAGTATGAGGGTCTGCACCACTTCAAGAATCAGGCTGGCTGTTTTTGGCTGTTTAGGGCCTGGCCTGCTGGTGAGGCAAGGTATGGCCCACACGTATAGTTGTATGTCTGAATTTCAAAAGTAAAATTCTAATGATGCTTCTGGGGGGCAAAAAAGAGGCCCTTAAAAGGAGATCGTTTCTTGTTAAAGTGTAATTTGATAAACTAAGAAAGCCTAAAACCTTTTAGAAGGAAGGGATGTCATCTGCTTTGTTTTGTGGTATGATGTATCTTGAGATAGTTTGTTAAATTATTTGGAAAGTGTTTAATAAATTATTAAAAACGGTGCATACCCCTTTGAAAAATGGCAGAAACTCTAGAAGGGTGAAAGGTTGAAAACTGCAAACGCTACAAAAGGTCTTTTTCCTCAGTCTTCCCTTTCTACTTCCCAGGGATATCTACCATGAAATTAGATATTTGCATGATATATAGTCCTGCAGAGAAAATAGACCCTCTTTCAAGTATTCATCAAGCACTTGTATCCCAGCCATTGTCTGATGTGCTGGAGGTACAAGGTCCCAGCCCTGATGGAGAGCACACTAGAGTAGGAAGACCAGGTAACACAAGAGTCTGTGGTTTCAGGTACTGGTCATTGCTGTGAAGAAGGATAAAGCACGTGGAGCAGATAGAGGGTGACAGAGGACACTGCTTTTCAGATGGAAGTCAGGGGAGACCTGTCTAAGGAGGTGACATTAAGCAGAGTTCAAAGAAAGAAACATGTAAATCCTGGGAAGGACACTGTAGCCAAGTGGGCACGGCAAGTGCAGAGGCCCAGAGGAGGGAGCGGGTGGGGAAGAGGGTTCTCATCACACTTTGAGGAGGACACAGCCAGCTGTCTCGTTCACTGCTGACGCAGACCCAGAGCATTGGGGTGAGCCTGACTTTCCGCACTCCTAACATGCTCCCTGGGAGCGCTCATGCTGCTGGTGCCCAGACCACACTTTGCATAGTGAAATGTTAGAGGAATCAAAAGGAGCCCAGTGACTTTTTTAAACGCACTCTTCCGTTTCCCTTTTCACCAAACACAATTTTGTTGACGTCCTTTCAATCAGGACTGACCAATCTACCTCATTCTTTTAAGTTTGTTCAATTTTGATCTAAGAATTTAGAAGCCCTGCAAGTCACTTAACCACCTATGTGGCCTCGAGCGAGTTACTTAACTTCCCTCAGCCTCAGATGGAGGATAAGACCTGCACTTTCCAAATGGAGCTGTCATGAGTAATAAGTCGCATGGTCCTTGACATGTCCACAGTGTTGGCCCAACAGATGTCCCCCATTGTTGCTTATGGCTTCCCTTTCAGCATAAACCTGTGCCACACCTGTATGGTTACTTTTCCTGAGTGAGCGCCTGGCTTGTAAGGACCAGCAGGAGTGATCCAATGGGGGCAACTTGCCCTTTAATTCTTTCTCTCTACTGAAATAGGCTATTGCAACAATAATGGACCTTATCTGTTGAAATCAGCAAAATGAAAGGAAAAAGATTTATGGAGTACTTTCTAAAAACATTATTTTCTTGTGCCCTTCAATAAATTGTTTTCTTAAGAAAAATGGATATTTCTTCCCTTACCTAAAAGTGGTATTTTAAAATGTTGGGTCAAAACTGTATTATCATATTCTTGGGATTCTGTACTTAAAAAAAACACCTCTCATCATGGCTAAGTTTTTTGGTAATTCTTTGAACATGCCTACCATTCTGAAGTGAACTTTACAAAGACACCTAAGAATCCTGATGGGGCTCAGCCAGTGCCACTGAATTGTGGATTTTAGCAACAAAGATGTCTTTTGACCTCCCTGATGCTGTTGGTCCTTATAAAATGGGAGTAATGGAAATCAATGTTGGATTGAAGTTCTTTTATCTGAGGGTCTCAGTTACAGCCTCAGTGTCTGGAACATATCAACACAAACCAAGGATGTGTCTGAGCAGACAGAATCAGCACTGGAACATCCAAGCTGCTTGGAGTTTATTCATCGGGTAGAATCTCTTTTTTCTGAGACAGAGTCTCACTCTGTCACCAGGCTGGAGTGCAGTGGCTCACTGCAACCTCTGCCTCCTGGGTTCAAGCGATTCTCCTACCTCAGCCTCCTGAGTAGCTGGGACTACAGGCATGCACCACCACACCAGCTAATTTTTGTGTTTTCATCATGTTGGCCAGGATGGTCTCGATCTCTTGACCTTGTGATCTGTCCACCTCGGCCTCCCAAAGTTCTGGGATTACAGGCATGAACCACCGTGTCCGACCTAGGTAGAACCTCTTACTGGGAGCTTTTCAATGTTCATGTGACACATTTCTCACGTGGTTACACAACTGCTTTTCTACCTTGCAACAGCTTAGAAGCATCAGAGTAGAGGGTTTCTGGTAGACAATGGCCAGACAGGTAACACCCACTGAGAAGGAAGAACAGAAACTATACAAAACAGATGCAAGGACTTCAGGTTGCTGCCTGATATAGGGACAATCCACAAAGGTGACACTGTGCTATAAGAAGACAGAAAGAAGTTAAATGGTGCTTACCGGGCCGGGCGCGGTGGCTCAAGCCTGTAATCCCAGCACTTTGGGAGGCCGAGGCGGGTGGATCACGAGGTCGAGAGGTCGAGACCATCCTGTGAACATGGTGAAACCCCGTCTCTACTAAAAATACAAAAAACTAGCTGGGCGTGGTGGCGCCTGCCTGTAATCCCAGCTACTCAGGAGGCTGAGGCAGGAGAATTGCCTGAGCCCAGGAGGCGGAGGTTGCGGTGAGCCGAGATCGCGCCATTGCACTCCAGCCTGGGTAACAAGAGCGAAACTCTGCCTCAAAAAAAAAAAACAAAAAAATAAATGGCGCTTACCATACTGCATTTAAGATCAATTTAGGTTTTCATCCAGACTGGAAAATTCCTACTGTGGGGTAGGGTAAGCTTCCGTTTTGTCAAGAGGTGAGTGGTGGAACCTCTGATTGATTTCCTAAGCAACAGGCCTGAGTCCTGGTCTTCTACCCCTTCACCCCTCAACAATTAATATGTTAATATTATGCAAATGCTGGAGAAACAGAGCTCCCGCACACATGCACAAACACTCCCAACAATGAGACCGTGGACAAACCACACCTCTATTGAGATTCTGGACCCCCCACTGTCCCAGCAAATCTGGGCAAACGCATGGCTGGAAAGAGGAGGAAGCCTAACCTTTCTAAGTTAGCAAGGCAGGAGAATTTCTGAACTAGAGGAGGCAAACCTGGACATCTGCTCTTCAAAACAAATCTACCTAAATGACTCATGGGTGGTCAGAACTGAGAACCATCGAGAAACGGACATATTAGTTGGGAATAAATGTGATGAGGATGCTTGACTGTGCATAGCTTCCTTCTTGGCTTCATGAAGTTATTTTCAGATTGCATTAAGAAAAAACCAGAAACATACTGTGTCTATGTGTCATCCTTTTGCCACCATCTCCCCTATTAAGATGATGCCAACCTCTCTGAATGGTCACTGGATTTCTAGGTGAGACCTCATCTTACAAAAGCAGCCTTTGGCCCAGGGCACTGGGCAATCAATTTAGTCTCATCCTGAGATTCTGGGCTGAGATCCATCCTTTACCACCTGTGTTCATTAGGTTCTCTTCATTTCAAATGAGAAGTATGGGGTGGGGTAGGACAGAAGGCGGGGTTGGGAGTCACACGGTGGTTTAAGCCCTGCCTCCGCCTACCACATAGGGAATCTGTAACCAATTCAGACTCAGTTTCCCTATCTCCAGAATTAGCATCAGGGTAGGTCAAGAGTTTATTGGATGCCTGGATTTAATCAAATAGAGATTTACTATTTCTTCTTCAAGATCACTTGAGTTTGAATTCTTAGAATTAATTAAAGCCTCCCAATCCTCTTGAACACTCTCTTCCCTGTTGTCTTTGGCCATGAAATTCTACTCACATTTTCTCTGAATTGTAAATCTGCTTGCCTAGATTGTTGCAGACATAGCCTATGACAGGGACATTTTTTCCTGGAGACCTTGCTTTCAGCTGCAAGAAGCTTCAGGACGGTGCAGGGGAACAGAAACCCCTTTTACACTGTCTTGGTTCTGCGCCAGTTCTGTGCCAGCAGGGGAAGGAATTCTCCCTACCCGTGTGCTGTGGCCAGGCCTTCTTTTGCAGGCTCCCCTCTGGCCTTCCTCTCTTCAGTTCATCATCCAAACACTACTTCATATGCCTCCTCTCAGGTTTAGTGATTTCCCTACTAGTGTTTAGCTTCTGCCATACTGCAGGATATTTTCTTTAATACGCTTTATTTTTTAGAGCAGTTTTAGGTTCACAGCAAAATTGAATGGAAAGTAATGAGGTTTCCCATATGCCCCCCACCCCTACACAGGCACAGCCTCTGCTACTATTTTATCACCTTACTAGAGTGACTCATTTGTTAGAATCAATGAACCTACACTGTTGCATCACTACCACCCAAAGTTCAGAGTTAACGCCGAGATCCACTCTTGGTACTGCACATTCTATGGATTGCGACAAATGTGTAATGACATCTATTTTCCATCATAGCACCATATAGAATAGTATCTGGCCCTAAGAAATTCCCTATGCTTCAACTATTCAGCCCTCTCTACCTTCAACCACTGATCATGTTACTGTCCCCACACTTTGCCCTTTTCCAGTATGTCATATAGTTAGAATCATGGTATGTAGCCTTTTCACGTACGCTTTGTTTTTCCACTTAGTAATAGACATTGAAGTTTTCTCTACGTCTTTTTTTCTTTCTTTTCTTTTCTTTTTTTTTTTTTTTTTGAGACAGAGTCTTGCTCTGTTGCCCAGGCCAGAGTACAATGGCACAATCTCGGCTCACTGCAACCTCCGCCTCCCAGGTTCAAGCGATTCTCCTGCCTCAGTCTCCCAAGTGGCTGGGATTACAGGTGCC